AGGAAGGCGGGTGTTTGTGTGCGCACTTGCTAGCCACCGTGAGAGCCTGAACATCAGTGCATTTTCCCGCACCTGTGATTGGCGCACACTGATTGTTTACAAACACGTCAGCTTATCCCCATTACCAAGACATGGTTACAGGCTGGTGTAAGGGGCGCCGAAATCATACTCGGTGATTACCAGCTTTTTTGCAAGAATCGGCAAAAGTGGTGCCGTCTAAGAGTAATAGGAGATTCTCTAATAGTTTTCTTGGTCTATAGGCTTCCCCTTTCAAGATGTATAGGTGTTGTCATCAAAATAATTGGTCTAGAGGCTTAATTTGCTATCCAATTTGAGTTTCTTTTACAGCTTTCATTATACCTTTCATTCTTTCCACAACGTTTTCACCATATTTAGTTCGGTGAAACAATCACAAGCGGCTTTATGTTTTTTATATAATGCATTTACCACGCATTCAAAATGTATTAACTACATCATAATCAAGCACTAAACCTTTCAACACGAAGTCCGCTAGACACCTGGGATAGGAGACTTTTGTCATTTGGCGGCCCTATGATGAATACCTGCCGGAAGTTCAAAGGCGTACACCTATTTTTCCCCCTCAAATACACCTGCTGACTGACTTCACAAAGAGAACGCACCACCTACAATATCGTCAACAAAACCCATAAGCATCGCCTCGCGTACTCAAATAAGGAAATCTCTCTGTCCTGGCGGGCCACCACACTACATCCGTCCAGTCGGAGCTCCTCCGCAGTTTATACCGAATGTTCACAGGTGGCATAAACATTTAGGTATGGACATGCGACAGAACTCCCATACAAAAAGATTATTTGATTGTTCAGTTTACCGAGTAATGGAAACTTTCGTTGGTATGCTAACATTTCGGGGCTCCAGTAAGGAGTCAACATACACTTACAGATGGCGAAGTGCTTGTCTAAATAGATGGGATGCTCACCTAGAAATATAAATCGTCATTACACCTAAATAATAGCTACCAGGTTCAAATAAGACAGAAAATACATCTTATTCCAAGACGGCTCCAGCGTCAGAACAAGTGTCAGTGATGAACGCTGTACAATAGACGTGTCCGACCATATCAGTTATATTTCATACACGCGTGATAATCGCCTAGGTTTTAAAAGTGATCGCCAAAAATTCCAGGCCTAGCAGTTCTATTCATTAGTGGTCGTGGTCCACTCTCCTAGTTCCTGGTCTCAGCTGTTTCCAGTTGTTGGTATCTTGGTCCTCTTTTTCGTTATTTACGGACGGTTTTGTTTGCATGCCTTTCGATCCAATCGAAGCTACTCTTCATATATTTTTAAGGAGAATGCTAGTCATTCGCTTGAGTTTTGTATGCTTTCTGAATCTATCTGAAAAGTAACAGGATTTCCAATTACCCTGGTCTCTGTCTTCGTCTCTGTAGGGCGGGATGACTAAAACGTTTGTGTAATCTATCGGAGTGCCGCTAAATTTAATAATGTGTGTATAATAGTTTTTTTGGATACCCCAGTGGTATTCATCATTTCATTCGGCCATTTACATACAGTAACAAGTTTATTGATTTTTGGCGACATTTGTATCTAACTTCGTGTATTCTTCCGCCGGTCTACCCTCAGAGCGCAAGCCAAATGGATCGGATAATATTGCTAATTGACATGGATTGTTTCTACGTTCAAGTAGAACAAAAAGAGCAACCAGATACAGTTGGTAAACCATGCGCTGTCGTGCAGTACAGTTCCACAAATGCCTCGTAGGTATTCATAGTAACTTTCTCCATTCTACTAGTCTCATCGCTGTGAGTTATGAAGCACGTGCCATAGGTGTGACTCGGAACATGAGGGGTGATTTGGCAAAAAAACAGTTCCCAAATCTTATTCAATTTCAAGTGCCAAGTCGCCGAGGAAAAGCTGACTTAACTAAATACAGAACTGCGGGAGCTCAAGTTATC